TACCTTTAAGTCTGAGCTATGTTTTCTCCTAGTTTGAGTCTTCCAGTCCATCTGGCTTAGAGCCTCTTTTGATCAAGACCAGACAGTGTCCCTGGATGAGCATGAAGCGTGGGTGAGGAACCACAAGGGAATTCTGGCAAATAAGAGTAAAGCAGTCCTATGTGAGTACATCTTCTCCTACCAGTTCTATCATAAAATCAAAGAGAATAAATCGAGAGATCAGAGGATGAGGAATGCGCTCACAGTTAGTTGTTTGTGCAAACTGATTTGACTTCGTACTGGAACAGAGCCGAAGAGCAGCATCTGCATAGGTGGGAACAACTTGCAGTGAATAGATGCTGCTTGGGATAGTTGGGATAGGACCTGAGTGTATCCTAATTTACACACAAGAGTGGGTCAGAAGACTCATCCAAAGGTAGAATATCAGTGTTGTTAGACAGAGTTGTTCTAGGTCCAGAGATCAGAGAATGTGGTTGCTGTCTGTTAGCATGTGTCGCTCCTCTTATTTCATGTGACTCATGGTTCTGGCAACAGTGAAGAAGTTGTCTGCATGGCTTTGCAAACCTTACACAAGGCTAGCCAAACAGGAGGACTCTCCTTTGCATGTATGTTGATAAAAATATACAATCAGAAATCGTGATCAACTACCAGAAGCTCTTTTTCCTCGAAGTTTGTGCCAGACAATTGTTTTGCAAGGCAGCTTCTTCACTTTCAATTCGTGGCATTTTCTGGCCTTAGCTTTAGAAATGGAATAGCACCAAATATGAGTTCAGTTTCTGTTTATGAGGAAATAATGCAGCTAGCAGAAGTAAGGATATATTACCGGGCTTGTGTTTTCCTGAGCTTCCCGCAGGATCCCTGTTCTTATATTCATGACAGAGAGCCTAAACAAAAACATTGCATAATTTGTTGTCTATAGGCAATGAATTTTACAATGGCCCTATTTTGTTTTCTAAGAGCATGCTAAAACTTTGGTTTGATGAACTTCAGCTGTTCTGGATTCTGAAGTAGGCTCAGGAGACCAGGGAAAAGGGGATATGACAACCGCTTTCCACATCTTTTAGTTTTTGAGCTTCACCATAGATCTGGACTTTTCTATCTTGAATTCTTAGAGGTATAGCAGAGATTTATTTCACATATTGTATTACCCCACACCACCAAACCACTTGTCCTGCTTTACTTTATAACCTGAAAAAACTCAGGGAACACAGGTAACTTGCTTCTGATCTGTGGAATTCTTCTTTGATCAGCAACAGTGGCTTAAGGTGGTGTAATAATGCTGGAGGCTTGGCTTGCTGGGTCACCAACTTCATAAAAAAAAAGGAAGGTTACAGAGGTAGTCTCTGACCTCACGGCTGTTTATTCCAGCTCTCCACATGCCTAATATTCTCAAGCCAGGTGTTTGTAGATCAAGACTGTGTGGAAGAGAGAACAACCCCAGGAAAACTAGCATGCAGCATATAGCTACCCTATGAATGAAACTCCTGCCTCTTTTTTGTGTCAGATGTGATTTTTCTGTGCTAGAGTCGGTAGTGCTGCCTAGCAGCTCTTCAAGGTGCAGAAAACCGGCGATATTGCCAATTTCTTTGCTGTGTGGCACCAACAAGCACCACTGGTCTGTACAGAAACTTGTTGTTCCCTTGGAGTTGCCTCTAATGATAAATACACTGTATTTTGTTATCAGCTGTCTTTCCGAGCACCCCTGTGTGGAAGCATTGCTGGAACGGACAGTGAGCATTAATAATAACAATTAGCTCACCCATAAACCAGTACTTCTTGCACCATCACATTTCAAAGGGTTTTTGTCATGTCTCCACCCTTCAAGATGATTAAATGGGAAATGATTTCAGCATAACCTGAACGGGAACATCAACATTTGTTAACAGGTATTTCTGAGAGCTTTCAAGAGTAATAGGAGAAAATGAAAGGCATAAACACATAAACAAACTCAAAACCAAAATGCTGAATAGATATTCCCCCCAATACTACTTTTCCCTTGAAGTATACCCGTGCATAACTTCAGTGTGTTGTTGATACTGTTTCACTGAGCAATTTTTGTAGTGCCAGAAGCATTGCTTATACCGTAAGCCAAGAAACAGTAGAAGTGAAATATGTTTTAACCAAAATCCATTTTCTCTGGAGTTGCTTTTGTGAAAAACATTAGTACTCAATTTATGACATTCAGAGCCATAGCAGGCTCCCAGGAGCAGGGGGAGGCCCGGGTGGACCTGAAAGAAAGCAAACATTTCATGTCAGTCTGAGGAGAAGTAGGAGGAAAATGAGATGAAAACTTGGGAGGTGAAGATGGAAGGAATGGTTTGAAGACGTACTCTAGAAGTGTCAGTGAATCCAAAGCTGCCAGATTAATCCTGGAATGTAAGTGTAAAATTAAACATTCTCTCACTCTCTTGCTTTCAGGAAAGCAGTTGTTTCATTGTACAAATGTCTCTGTGGGCTGATCAGACCAATTCGGTACTAGTGAGCAATTTTTGAGATATGTAGTGTTAAAATAATTTTAATAATGACATGTAAATTGTAAAAGATAGTATAGAAAGATGAGAAAGATTATCTTTTGGTTAACTTATGTTTATTTAATGAATGGATTTTTAGTATGTTTTTAATGTTTCATTGAAATTCTATACATATGATAAAGCACTTGTAGTTTGTAACCTAAGTAATGCTTGTGCACTGCAAAAATGTTTTAGAAATAATGTATGTAAAAAGGATTACAATAACGTAATCTGGAAAATTATCTTAGCTACTCTGCAATGCAATTCATGCATTATTATTATCACTTGTCTCATTGCAGAATCTGTAACGACTTTATTCCCTATTTATGACATTAATCTTCATTACCAAGCAGATGGTAATGTGAGAATTTTGTGACAATTGTGAAATTCCATACTCTAAGGAAAGAAAAGAGCAAGTAGAGAGCGTGACGTGGTGTTTTAGTGGAGATTTGTGACAGCTAGCACTTTTGCCGTGCTGATGTAATTTTCTACTTTGATTTCTGTACATTTTAGTAAAAAACTGTAAAAAAAGTATTTTTTCTTTCAACTAAATATTATGAATGTGGCCTCTATTAGCAATTGCTCTGCTTAACAGTCAGCATTGCTGACTTGGTGCAGAAGCATTGAGAGTATATTATGCACTGGAGGGAATTTAAAATAAATGAAGTAACATTACATCATACACTGGCTGATCTGTTTAAGAGCTTGATAAGCAAAATTTACATTTTCTACAACTGATACACAAGACCCCACCCCAATTAACCATGGGACTTGGAGAGTTTCATTCATTCCCCAGCTTAGGTTATTACTGCAAGTGCTTGTGAGAGGACAGTTTTGAGAGCTTTAAATTTCCTTGTGTTTTCACATGATGTCTATGGAAACAGAAAAGAGCTGGCAAGAGAGAAGCTCGTTCGGTCTGTGGCACAGAAATGCCGGTGTATTCACTCCTAGGGAAATGTGCTGGCTGTTCAGAGAAGCCTATTGCTATAGCAAACTTACTATTTCTCTCCTGTGCTTTGAAACCTTAGTTAGCTGCTCTAACAGTGAGAGAATATTTTCTTATATCAATACGTACTTACAATATCATAATTTAATCTGTTGTCTTGGAACACTTCACTGAGCTGGGCCTGAAAAGATTTGGCTGTGTGCACTACTTCATGATGGAGTACTTGGGGAACAGTGATTGTGAAAATATTACATACAGTCTTTAATTTAGTCCAGTACTATTTTAAAACAGTAGAGGATTTGGCAGTAATCTCAGCAGATAAAACCCAGTGTTGCTAATTAATCACTAAAAGTGCAATCCTGGCCCCAGTGATTTCAACAGGAGCAAGTTCAAGCACCAACACATCCCCTGAAGACACTCAAGTTTAAACAGAGCATAGCTTAAAAGCACAGTACCAAAATTCTCTCTCTCTCCAAGCCTCCTGTGAAGAAAAATAATCTTTCAAGTTTAGAAGAGTGTACTGTAGTAATAAGTAATAACATTCCTTAAAAGCTTATATGGTTTCCTTGGCTAATAAAGTGCAATCTTTCTTTTACAGCCTGACTTTAATGGAGTTTTTCTTGACACATGCTGCAGACCAATCTCACATTCTTTTGGAAAAAAAAAAATGGAAGAGTGTGTAATTTTCACCTATCCAGTAATACAATAAATACAGTGAATTTAAATGACTGAGCCCCCAAATAAAATGCGTAGAACAAGAAGTAAATGTCTGTAATTGAGTATCTGTTGTGTACTTTACTATTGAGTTTCTTTTTCAGAAAAATACAGAAATGAATGATGCCTGGGGAGACACTAATTCTAGAGCTGCTGGTTACAGTTCTAATGCTCTGAGGATTTTTTTGAAATTAAATAATTAGAGTTGAACCAGTACAAAACCAATAGTAATTAGGGTGGGTAAATCCTGTTAAGTGTAAAGAAAATGTGTTTAGATCATAACATTGTAAGCAGAATTATGCCTAAGAAAAGCAGGGTACGACTCCAGTGATAAGAATAAAAAATCCATTTACTCTTTCTCAAACCTGAGTGCATATATGGAAGATTGTTTCTATTACAGTGACGGTTAGGTTTAACGTCGTGGTTCTGACAATGTGAGCATGCAGCTCAGCCCAGGATCTCCAAGAAGTACAAGTGGTTTGAATGCAGTTAAAAAAAGAAGGTTTTCGTAAGGGCTGCCCATCCAAAGTAGCTAGGCAAGGAAAATGCCTTTCTGCTTAAATGACATGCGATAATCCAGAAACAGAGTAACAAAGGGGAAGACAGCAGGGAGATATTATGAAATAAAAGCCTTAGGAGTTAGCTTCCCCTGATTTAGAACTTTAAATAATTGTAAGACTGAATGTCAGGAGCAGCAGTTGATAAGGGGACTGAGATGGCATTCCTCCAAAATTTCCAGGGTTTTTTTTATTACTGAAGACTTAGAGCTTTTTCTTTTCTTCCAGTGATCATTCTTCAATTACTGCGTGATACTGGATATCAACATCAAAATGGGCAATGAGAACAGTAGTGCAGAAAATCAGGTGAGTGTGACAGTGTGATTGCATTTTCCTTTCCTGCTAGCCTAGAGCAAACGTTACAGAAATTGGTTTCACGGGCCGCTTACCCCACATTTATCTCCTGCTCCCAGTTACATTCCAATTTAAGTGTCATTAATGGCAATTGAAGGCAACTTTTTGTTTGTTTGTTTTCTTTGGCAGCAGCACTGCTACATAGCATCAGAGCGCTGTATGGGTGGTTGCTCCCTGGGGGACGGGAGCCACGGGGGATCCCCACGGGCTGAGCACGGCTGGCGCATCCCAACTCCCCAGCCAGGGAGCAGGGCAGCCGGGGGGCAGCTGGGGAGCAGCCCCTGCTCCAGGCATCAGGCATGTCCCTGGAGAAAGAGACAGGCCAAGACAGGTCCAGGGTGTCAGCCCGTGGGTCAGCCTGGCTCAGCGGGGCAAATGGCCAGGCAGGGCAGGACCGTGTTGGAGCAGGAGACCAAAATCCTACGGCATGGCTGGGGACGACAACCCCAGGGGAACGGAAATGAGGTCTGGGGCCGTGGGCAGGGTGGGGAGCGGCCCTGGGAGCCAGACAATGCTCATGGTGCGCTCACAGCCCTGACACACGGTAGTAGCCTCTCCTTGATCATACATGACCTTGCAATGTCAATGTGCTGATCCAGGAATTCACACCCATTTTAGAAGGGTGGACTGTTTATGTGTGTTGATGTTTGGCGATTTATTTTTAGATTCTTGAAATGAAGAATTTCAGCTAGTTGTGTACAATTACATTAGAAGTTACTGTGTTGATAGAAGTTTGAATAAAGGTTTTAATTCATCTAATTTCAACAATTAAAATACTAGAATGTGTTTCATTTTCTGTCCTTCCATATGTTACGGTAGATGACAAAATGCCATAGGATTCATTTTGCTTCCACTTCAGGTCTCAGCAGATCTGCAGTACCTCGTGCATTGCAAAGTGGACCCTCTCAAGGGAACCAGTATTAGAAGTTGGCCAGATTTCTTTCATAAAGATTTTTTTTGAAGGCAAATGTGCTATAATGCTTGGTAGTTCTGGTCCAGTTATATTTTTAGCCCAAGATTGGGTCCCAACTTTTTTCAGGGTTTGGGAAGAGGGGAATGTGTTAATTCCTATAACTAAGTAATGAGAATTTTTTCTCCAACATATACAACTTTCACTAAGGAAGTTTTTGAAAGTCAAATACATTTCTTCAGGAGTCCTCCTGAGGCTGAGCAGACTTAAAAGTTACAGAATTTATTAAGAAATTTAATTAAAAGCTCTTCTAATAAGGAAAGAAAGCTTCTGGTCTCCATTTCACACTGTAAAATCATAACCAACCAAACAAACAAATAAAACCCCAAAGCAAAACAAAATAAATGCTAGGAAACCAAACTACTTGAAACGTCACGACTAACAGAGAAAAAGCAACAAGTAGTAATAAAATCTTAAAAGCCACTTGATCTGCTGGACAGTTATTGAAGGAGTGTTTCTTAATGAATGGTCAACATTCATATAGTCACTGAAACGTTTAAATATGTTCATTTTTAGTCAGAGATTCCCGATGCAAATAAAGTCATCCTTATACCACCAAGCCAAGGAACACAGCAGGTAGTGGATGATGAAACTGGTTTGCATGGTTTGCATTTCAAAATGTTTGCATCAGGCTTGGCTGTGCTTTTTCTTGTGCATCTGCTTCTGGCCTTCGCTTTTTTGATACTGACTGCAGATTTGCAAGGCAGCTTCATTTAAGTTTTCAGCAAGTTGTAAACAAAAATCTGGTTTCTTTTAACTTCTTCTTTGGTAGCAATCTGTGCTTTAGAGAAACAGCCTGTATTTGACCCTCTCTGCATGCTGGCTTTCCTTCCAACTCTAACACAATTAAATTGCTCAGTGGATGTTGTTCAGTACCAAATGAGATGAGTTGCTTTTTTGTAGGTTTTTATCAGAGAACACCATTGCCCTGTTCTAGCTCTCAGCTGAGTCATTTGGAAGCCATACACATGGTTTGCATTAAAGATAGGAGAACCTGTGCTAAGTTTAGAGCTCATTTAGTAAGAGGGAAGATCTGTGGAATAAATGTGCTGCTATGGAGAATGTAGTAGGCAATTAAAGAAAAAGTAAATACTCAATCTGTCTTGTAGGACAGTATAATCTAAATTTAGTAGAAATGAGAAAAGATAATAAATAGATTAAATGAGGCTGGGGCCAGCAGTATATTTAACAATGTGATTTTACATATACTAACCACATTCTGTTTTGATGTAGCAGTGCACAAAGCTCAGTCTGCTGAGAGATAGAATCATGGAATAGTTTAGGCTGGAAAGGACCTTTAAAGGTCATCTAGTCCAACCCCTCCCAGATTTTAGGTTTGTGCCCTGCCGTGTTAGAATGGCAAAGCTTGCTTCCAAACAAGGGTCTCTGTCAGCGGCGCAGCTTGTTGGGCTTATGCTGAACTAAATATAAGCTATTTTTAAGATTCATTTTCCTTGAAAAGTGAAACTCCGCACGAAGAGAAATGTGTTTAAATGAAAAAGTAACAATCTAAAAGAACAGATATTTTGACCCAGTTTGACCCTTGAGATCCAGCCTTTAGCAGAGAAAATAAAGGGGAAGGAAAGGAAGTACTCATTAATGGGAAGCTATGAAAAGGACTGCAGTTTATGGAACTCCAGAAGGTCTCAGCCATTGTGCCGCCCATTAGACACCTCTTTCTTCATCCATCCAGATGCATCCAATGGTGTAGAGGTCTGTCCTCCTCAGGCTTTTTCTTGACTTTGCTGGACAGCCAAATGTTGGTAAATCATCTACATGGCTGGTCCTCAGCCCTTGATAGTCATGATAGTGTGGGCTCAGATGCCGGCTAATAAAACCCCACTTGTAAACAAACCCAAACTGACTAGGACCAACAAAACTATCTGCAACCTAAAAAGTCTGGCAGCGTGAGGCACACGGTCTGTGTGAGGGAGGGTGAGCCCACACACCAGCTCTGCAGCCCAGCCATCCCCATGCTGCTCCGGGGCTTTGTGCAGTTAACTCAGGGACTGTACGTTACAGGGTTATTTTTGACTTTCATGACTGTTTTTTATCATGGCCTCCCATCTACTAGGATTACACTATTACCAGGACACCTTTGCTCTCATTTTAAAGGGGGGAATGGAGAATGTAAAAAACAGAAGGAGTTCTCTATGATTGGAAACAGGAGCACAACATTTTCTAAAGCTCAGATAGGCTGGATTTTCTAACATGTAATAATTTTAACTCAGGTTTTTAATTCTTGCCACTCAGAGTTCTGAAGAGGAGAGCTGTCCTCTTTCACAGCCTTTCTCATGATTACAGAAAAGTCAAAGTTACCAAGTAATTGTAAAGCTCTTTGAAGGTGGAAACTGCTGCTGAATTGAAATTCTAGCAGCGCGTATTTTGCCCCATAGTTGAAGAAGGAATTTCGAAGTCAGTTACCACACAAGTTATTTCTATATATTTTGTTTTATCCTTTCTTCTTCTTTGTTTTCTGAATGAGTAAATAGCCAGACAAATCTGGTTATTCCACATCTATGTTATTGTCTGTTTCTCTTTAAACATATACCTGAATGTGTGGTTGTCTTTTTTGTTCTTGTTTGTTTCTGCTGTGAAGTGTGTAAGACAGGTAACACAGGCAAACTTGCCAGATGGGCCATAACTTCTGAAGAGTCTGTTTGTTTGTCTGAAGCGTTATGCTGTGTTCCTGCTAGGTTTTCTCCATTTGATTGTTATGAGGGAATCTGACTGCTGCACATTCTGCAGTTAATATTCTATGTTATTACTTTCCCCGTATTTCACTTTCCTTATGCCTGTGCGGACTGATGGATCTAGTTAACTGGCGTGGTTCTTCTTTCAGATCCCGGTATCATGGGGGTCAGCGGAGAAGGCACTGGACACATCAGCAGCTTCCCAGCCTTCAGTGTCCATTTCCACTGATGATAACTGGGCAAATTCCTCTGAGTTTTGGTGCTCATACTGTGTGTTTACATACTTTCTGAATAGTGCAAGAACATCTGTATACATTCCATTGTTTATATTCAATTGGGAGCAAAAATACATTCCCAACTTTCTGCATAATGGTTTTGCCAACAGCATTTTAATGAGGTACTCAGTTCCCCTACACAGGCTTTTCTTTGAGTTTGTGGTGTCCACATGATTCACCACTTCTACTGTCTAAATTATTATTTCATTTCATTTTTCCTTCCATTTCACCTGTTGCACATTGGGAGCACACAGGGACTGTTCCACATCCTTGCCATCGGCAGGGTGTCGATGGCAGCTGGCTCCAGGCCTGCATGCCCATTACTGATGCCTGCGTAGTTCTAGCGTACCTCCAGTCACCATATTCGTTAATGCTTACTTCCAGTGATCATCACTACTGCTCTGATATTCTGTGGTGAGTAATGACAAGTATTTGTTTGAGTTTACACAAAAAGAACATTGTCTGTGTTCAGAGAATTATACATCCATTTATGCAAATGCAGCAAATTCTGGGACACTTCTCACTGCAATGAATAACTATTATACTTGTTTTCATCTTCCCTGTGAAGGAAGGAGGAGGGATGAAAGAAGAATAAAGATTCAAAGTTGCGATGGGGTTCTTAATTTGAAAGCACAGTGAAAAGGAAGTTGGAAGACTATTCCTTCTCTTCTGAATTAGTGGTTAAAGCTTCCTTCACATCTGTAAAGCCACCACCATTTCTAATGGGAAAAGTACATTTGTGGATACAGATGAAAAGGAAAAATATTTTATATTTACATAGAATCTCTATAATTATGTACTACATTTCTCCATTTAGAAATAGTGTCAAAATGTTTGACCTACATTTGCCACAGCTATGAGTAGATAGAAATTGCTAGGCAAGCAAACACTATCGGCTGGGGAGCACAGTAGAGTTTAGAACTCAGCTTGGAGACAATTTTCCAATAGTACTTCATATAAATTTAACAGCATCTTCTCAAGTGTTTTATTGTTAGGCTGCTAAGAACCACTCAT